CGCGCAAACACACGCAGATGAGATAGGGGTACTCACAGGCAAACACCCGTAATAAGATTTCACCTTTAATCTCTCTCTCTCTCTCTCTCTCTCTCTCTCTCACACACACACACACACACACACACACACACACACACACACACACACACACATTGTTCCCCACTCACTTTCCTGGGATCATGAGCTTGCACCACATCAATAGCCTTCTCCGTGAAGAGATGACCAGAGTAATGTCCCTCCTCGCTATGTACAGGTCCGTTCTGGTCACGCAGGTCCAGGTACCAGTTCCCGTCTGTGTAGTCCCGCTTGTGGCCGTAGTAGGTTTCCTCTCCGACCAGGTAGCCTGGACAAAACGATAGGACAGAACACAGAAGGAATTACCACTTCCAGCCCCAGCCATTTTTGTGCACTCCCTAACCCCAGTCCCAGCCAATACAGCAGTATTTCAGAAAAAAGGCATGCATTCTAAAAAGTTGGTTTTAGTAGAGGTTTTGCGGCGCTCGCAACTGCATAAGGTCATATGGAAAAGTGAAGCAGTTCTTTTGTAATGAGGTTTGGGTGATAATATATAACAATGTTTAAAGGTAAATGAACAAAAGTTATGAGGTTTAACATTTAAATAGGTTCGCTAATTTAGAAAAAGTATGCGCATATTCGCCCCCCCCCCCTTTCCCCCTCGAAACTGAAAATATAAGCTCTTGGGACGGTGGGAGGTACAAGCGCTGCTGAAAACATACACACATGGGGCTAGAAGGGTTAAGTAAGGGCCAGAGTTCAAAACCTCTACTTGTTGCAGATATTTTATTAAACAAATGACATCTGGGGCATCGTGGTGAAATTAGGCTCTCGTCAAAAAATGAAATTGAAGAAAATGGCATTTTTCTGTCCTTTTTGGGCAATTTTTTTTTGGGGGGGGGGGAATTTTTGTGTTTTGACTCAACACCTTAAGGGTTCATTTAAAAACACACTGCTGTGTGGATTTTCCTGTGGAAAAAATGTTGATTTACGACACAAAATATAAATTTGCAGTGTCTAAGGAATCGCAAGCTTTGTAAGTCGCCAGACTTTGGCGGCTTTTTTCTCCCTAATTTTACCTCTGTGAAACCAGGAGACCCCCACCTCCTTCAGTCGCAAATATCTTGACTTCTATCCACAATGTATGAGTATTTTGTCAACGAAAGCAAGACAAATGAACAAGTTTTAAAATGATACCGATAACTCCACATGTCCCAAAATTGACGAGCGCCCGATTCCATCAAGTCTACGTGGGGCATGAAGCCTCCAGACTCCAGACTAGTTAGTGTACGCCTGTCTCACTCCAACTGGGGGCTCTCGTGGCCTAGAGGTTAAGGAGTTCGCCTCTCATTCAAACGTCCCCAGTTCGAATCCGGGTAACGATGGAACAAATGTTTTTTCTCTGAAATTGTCTTCTTTCCTGCTCTCTAGAAATGTTCTGTCGTCTGTTTTCGTCTCCACTTTCTGTCCCCCTCTCACCTCCTTTGCCCCCTCCTCCCGGCTCCTGATTCTTTCTGCAGCCTTTCTACTGCTACTCCTTGACTGCTTCTTACTGCTGTCTTTCAGCCACACCCCTGATCTTCGGTAGGAAAGATCTACACCTAGCCTTCTCGGACAAGGGCGAATAATCTCGGAGGTCCCGTAAGCAATTTGCGCACGTTAAAGATCCCTTGGTGGTCTAAAATCGATACGAGTAGGCTTCGGCCGCCTCCCAGGTAAAATTCAAAAATTCCTTCCAACTAAAAATGTTTGGTGTGTCCCTCGCGCTCATATGACCTTATACAGTTGCGATCGCCGTAAAACACTTACAAAAACAAAACAAAAAACCCCGCTCCTATTTGTATTAAGAAAATCTGCACACAACAAAACATTCGTGTGACATCCGCCCCCCCCTCCCCCCTCCCCTCAAACAATACGTAAGTGTATCAAAAAAGGGTGAAACCAAGCGCTCGTCACATTTTGACTGTAATGAGTTACTAGTATAACTTTAATAAAGTGTGTGAACTTGCCGTGGCATTTAATGGAAAAATACCAGTATGACCTTAATAGAAGTCGATTTACGATTGAAAGAGGCGGAGGTCACCTGGTATCAGAGGGAAAATTAGCGAGAACATGGCCGCCGAAGTTTGATGATTGTCAAAACTGGAGTGTTGGTGGTTTGCGGGTGCTATGTTGTGGTTTGCTTCTTCTTTCCTATCAAACATGTATCGTCCTTATCTCCCCTTCTTCTTTTTTATGTTTGTTACTCTCTTGTAACACCTCTAATCTTCTGGCGCTCATATGACCTTATGCAGTTGCGAGCGCCGTAAAACCCCTACTAAACTAAAACATTAAAAGCTTGAGTGTTCCTTGAAACTGTAAATTTTCATTTGCTTGCCTTTGATCAATATTGTTTATAGTCAAATCACACAGAACAAAAATGTTTATAGTTCAAATCACACAGAACAAATAGGTTTTAAAGGATTATAAAATGCAATGAGTCAAGAAAGTAAAACAGACAAGCATTGACAGAGTGAGGAGTAAGGCAAGGCTGTTTTGTCTCTCCAGACCTCCAGAAAACAATGTCGGTTTCTTTAATTTTATTATTTTGAAGAGCGCCTGATTTCTAATGGAGGCCACACAATACTTGTCCAGGTAATTGGCTTCAAGAACCGCATTTCTTTGCTTTGTGGCATATCTACAATAACAATATTGCCTTGTATTACCTGTTATTAAGCCCATAGCACTGCATTACTATAACTATAATATTTTATGATCATAAGATTCTTAACGCCCTGAGATTAGTTTGAATAAGTTCAGAATCCCGGAATATTGTAATATTGTAAAATGATCCGGCTAATGTGATTGTATTGTATTATGTTATGTGAGTCGAATACCTCTGCACAATTATGTACTGTACTGCTCCAACGATTAAATGATATTACTTTAACAGTATTAGATTCTATTGCTTGGAAACTTTAACTTTGTTGTATTGCAATATAATCAAATGCGGTAGTGCTTGGTGAAGCCCACTTGGGACACTCACTGTTAAAAACAATTAGGGAACAACAAATGCAGTTTTTGGGACACCTGCATAGACATAAGGGTCTTGAACATCTAGCTCTCACTGGCAAAATTGAAGGCAAACGAGGCAGGAGTAGGCCCAGAGCAACCTACTTAGGGAACCTAAACAAATGGGTAACGGGGAAAGATCAGGGAAACGTAGCTTATTTAAGAACATCCGAGCAAAGGAATGAATGGAGAACCATGATCGCCGATGTCTGTCGCAGATCTGGCACTGGATGATGATGATTGTAATATAATGTGTTGGTTGACGTCTCTGAGATTGTACTGCTTTGTATTGCATTGTACTGCATTGTGTTGCATTGTAGTGCATTGTACTGCTTTGTACTGGATTGTACTGCTTTGTGTTGCATTGTACTGCTTTGTACTGGATTGTACTGCTTTGTGTTGCATTGTAGTGCATTGTACTGATTTGTACTGCAATGTATTGCATTGTGTTGCATTGTACTGATTTGTACTAAAATGTATTGCATTGTGTTGCACTGTGTTGCATTGTAGTGCATTGTAGTGCATTGTACTGCATTGTACTGCATTGTACTGCAATGTATTGCATTGTGTTGCGTTGCGTTGCGTTGTGTTGTAATACTATTGTCATAACATTATTGCCTCTTTTTTACCGAAGTAGGAGTCGAAGCCTCTGTTAAAGGGCAAGTACTCCTTCTTGTAAAATCCCAGGTGCCATTTCCCCACCATGTGTGTGGCGTAACCGGCTTCCTTCATCTTGTCCGCCATTGTTGGGTCGTCCAGGGGCAGACCGTTGGCTTGTTCCGGCAACAGAACATAATGTTGGAGACCAGTGTGGATCTTGGCGTGTTCAGAAAGAAAATTAGGAAAACCGTCTTATTGGTGGTATCATCATTTATACCGTAAGAGAATTAGGAAAACCATCTCATTGGTGATATCATCATTTATACCGTCGTTATCACCGGTGTGGATCTTGGCGTGTTCAGAAAGAGAGTAAGGAAAACCGTCTTATTCGCGATATCATCATTTATACCGTCATTATCATCGGTAAAGCTACAAGTAAGTTAAGTAAGGCAAGCATTGGTAGAGGGACAAGCAGGCTAGCCCAGGTTTCGGGGGTTTCCAGAAATCTTGACCTACACCAAAAGTGGGCATTGCCCTACCTGTAGGAGATGTTTGGATTCAATTGTGTGTGTATTTGTTTGATTATAGAGAGAACTCTCCTTGTCTTTTAAAGAAATTGAACAAGGGGCAAAAAGTTTACAATCGATTTTCTCAAAACAGCATTTTTCGAGATAGCCCCCTTGTGCTTAAAAGTGACCATTAAGATTAATTTAAGTGAGGAGTTAGACAAGGCTGTTTTGTCTCTCCAGACCTGTTTAACATTATAACATACACTGCCTGAAACATCTATTGTCCCCAGAAACAGAGAAGAAAATCTAGTATGTTTTTTTTTTCCTTTGAGTGCCATCAAATGTAGGTAGAGATTGGCTGATTAATTAATGTGCTATGTTGTTGTGTTTACCTAGAGCAGACGAAAGTGAACAATCCATTATATTGTGACAGTGGGGAATGAGAACAGAGGTCATCGGCTCAGGCTTATCATGTGACACCAAATACTTTCTCCGAGAGTTGAAGAGCCCAAACGTCGACGTGATGTCTTGGTAGTCGCTTTACGCAACGAGTCTCACACATAGGTCATTTAGGGCAAACCGGGAGTCTTTGGGATATCTTACAGTAGAAGGGACTTGGAGAGGCGAGGGGGGACGGGTGAGAGAGGGGGGAGGGAGAGAGAGGGAGAG